GACCTTATGGCTTCATGCACGTTAGGTCTGCACTGTACCAACTTGGCTACATTTCCAGCCCAAGATGAAACATCTGATAGACATACTTACACGTGCCATGTGTAAGAGAAGAAACATTAATTAGTTAGGCCTGAAGCACCTCTGACTCCATTGTGACTTGAGACAATTTGCCACTGTTTGGGCACCAAGCAGGGCAGCTTGCTCATCTGGGAATATGGAGCCAACATTACGTTGTAAGGCATTCTTGAGTGTCGTCATAGCCCATTATAACTGTTGAGAACTTAGAAAACCCATAGTAAAATTTGAAAGGATAACTCAGTTCTGTATTCATGCTCACACTTTTTTCTTTACTTTGTTGAGCTCCACAGAGTTAGATTCTATGAAGTCCTAGCATTGCTTCTTTCTGAGAAAATACATGATAGATGAGCTCAAATCTAAGACATTCAGAATGACAAATTATCTTGGAATGAATACTTAATTTAAACATCTGGTTTGATGATACAATATGCAGCGTGTGAGTGACAGCGTGAGCAGTTGTCAGGGGAACAGAAGGATATTCTCACTTTGCAGCTTTCACAGTCACAACAGGTTATAGGGGAACTCTGGGAGGCTGGCCCGACTACTCCCAAGATGATGCTAGGGGCTGTTCCTTGTGTGGAATCCTTGCATCCCACACCAACGGAAAAAACGTAGACCTTGAAAGAAGCAACATCACTTTGGTCTTTTAGCTAATGCATCTCTCAGTGTTGAACTTCCTTCTCTGGAAGCAAACACAGAGAAATTCAAAGAATCCTGGGTACTGTGAGAATGTCAGCAGGAAGAGGAAGCAATCAGGTTAATAGAAGTCCAGGGCAGCGGCCTGAAGCAGCACAGAGGAGCTGGAATTATTTAGGGTGCCCAACTTTATGAACATTCTACAATTCAGGGTGACAGTCATCTTGAGGAAGGAATTTAAATAAGCAGTCAAAGTGGTTTCAGATTGAGATGAATTTTTGAAAATAAAGATTTAAATTTTTTTTTCCCGAAGTTGCAAGATGACAAATGGATGTGGCAAGATTGGCACATTGAGAGCAGGAAGCAGACACTTTGTGAAAAAAGAATCCATGGCACTGTTTGGAAATGATATCTATTGTCTATTTTACATCTTTTATTCTCTCTTACACATGGTTTTTTGGATTCTGAAAAACTTTTCTGTGCGGATTATAAAAGACTTAAGCAAATTCATGAATTCTAAGGAGGGGAAGGAAGAAGGAGAAACTAATAGGAAGTTCCTTTTCTTTAATTTCACGTCTTGCTACAAAAGAGACACTCCATACATGAGTGGTTTAAGAACTTTAAACCTATTCTCATCCTATATGGCACAGCATCCTGGAAAAAGCTTGTTGCTTCTGTTTGAACAGCACTAAGGAGTACTTGGCTTATCACATAGCTCACATGCCTATTTAGCCCCATCCTCTCCCCTGATCCAGCTGCCATTGTGAAGCAGAGGATGGGATGGCTTCCAGCAGGAATAGTCTCTCGTAATTGTGACTTTGGCCTCTTCTGCTTTTTAAGTGAGGGGCTCTTAGGAAGAGTCTTGAAATCACTGGAATTTCTCCTTTTTCTTAGGATGATAGACTAGAACCTTTTGCAACATAGGACCTGTCAGTCCACCAGGATCAATGGTTTGCAATTTGTTATTCCAAAGAGCTGGGCTTTGTTGGGCCAATGAAAGGGTGGCATGGAGACCCCTCCCGGAGTGAGAGGTGGAATGAGTGCCAAGTGTGCTCTGGGCAGGTTTAGATACACAGGTTCATGGGCACCACATTGAATGGTCATCTGTTCATTCATATTTCACTCCCTCAACAAATAATCATTGAGTTCATTTCTCACTGCCAGAGAGTAGTTTGTAACACAATATACAAACAGAATCTCGGTGTCATGGGGGTGACTCTCCAGTGGTGGAGATAAATAAGAAACATGACAAAGAAACTATATAGTTTGATACAGTGATGTATGCTAGAGTAATGGAGGAAAGAGAGTAAGAGAGCTTCTGTGTGTCCACACGTGTGCAGGATCCCACGAATTTGGATTAGGCTGACTAGGGAAAGCTGTGCTGAGCTGATAAAGTCTTTTGAGTTAGGTCTCTGTCTTAGGGTTTCTATTGCTGTGAAGAGACACCATGACCACGGCAACTCTTATGAAGGAAAACATTTAATGGTCTGGCTTACAGTTTCAGAGGTTTAGTCCATTATCTTCATGGCAGGACATGGTGGTGTGCAGGTAGACATGGTGCTGGAGAGGAGCTGAGAGTTCTACACCTTGCAGGCAACAAGAAGTGGTCTGTCTCACTGGGCATGGCTTCAGCATATATGAGACCTCAAAGCCCGCCTCCACAGTGACACACTTCTTCCATCAAGGCCACACCTACTCCAACAAGGCCACATTTACTAATAATGCCACTTCCTTTGGGGGCCATTTTCTTTCAAACCACCACAGTCCCCAAGAAGGTGATGAAAGGAGCCATAGAATTTCAGGGGCAGGCAGAGCCTAAGTATTGAAAACTGCACTGCAAAGCCTTGAAGTGAGATTGTGTTTGTCATGTTTGAAAAATGGTGAGGTCCGTAGAGGAGAGTACATACACCAGGGCTAGCCAGAGGTGAAGTTGGAGGTTCTGCAAGAGGGGTCAAGTCATTCAGAGTCCTTGATTTTTACACACACACACACAGAGTGCACACACACACACACACACACACACACACACACACACACACACACACACAGAGAGAGAGAGAGAGAGAGAGAGAGAGAGAGAGAGAGAGAGAGAGAGAGAGAGAGAGAGAGAGAGAGAAGCTTTTGACATGTTTTGAATGGCCTGATTTCATATCTTAAACAGTCTGTGTTGAGAATAATCTTCAGGGCAGAGAGGAAGAACCAGGAAATGAGCTAGGAGATAGCTGAGAGCTGGTTATGGTCTGTAACATATTGCTTACTAGCTAAGTCCCAACAACCAGCACCAGAGATTGCCTAGTAGCTGTTTACCAGAATCTGGATGGGGTAGAGAAGCTGACGGTAAGCAACTCTGAGCATAACTGAAGGAGACCACGGGTTCCCTACTTCTTGGCCCAGGACTCCCATAGGGCTCTTGTGTTTCTGCTGTTGTTGCTTTGTGGTCCCTTCCTGTGAAAGACCCAGTGTCTGCAGTGCCCTTTTCGATGTTTTACGGGAGCAGTGGCTGACCTAATGTCCTTGCTTATGAGCTATGTCTGTTCTAGCAATCACTTTGAAGTTTGGAGGATGTTACAAAGCCCTTTCAGATACTGGCTTGGGTCCTGGAAAGGAAAAGAGACTTTGATATCAAACCTGGTTAAATCCAAATAAACTATAGTTTGGTGAGTGTTATTGTCCTAGTAAGAATCAATTTAGCTGATAATCTACTAGTCAGTGTGGGAAACACTAAATGCCATTAGTACAAACATCTGGATATGGGATGTCTCTGAACTTTCTTTATGACAATCACAATGTGTCTATAAACTTAGAATTATTCTAAAATAATAAGCTTATTTTAAGGTAACTCCCAACCAAAGCACAGTCATGACACCTGCATGACAGGCAGGAGGCTCATGAGTTGGAGGGCAACCTAAGCTACGTATAAGAGGTCCTTTCTTAAAAAGCAAAGCAAGACAACCCACCTCCCAAAATAACACAAAAACAGACCAAAAAAAAGTCTCCTGAAAGAAAAATCATACGAGTGTGAAAAACGTAAAGGATCTCTCACAGACATGTTCTATGTACTTACTCTTTTTTTTTCCACATCCCTTTAAGAAATTGGCTAACATACAAGTTACATCTTGTTATTTATTTTTGAGACAGAGTCTCCTTATATATATACGTGAAGATGACCTTGAACTTGTGATTCTCCTACCTCCTCCTCCCGGGTGCTGGGATTGCAGGCACGGGGCATCATACATGTTTCATAGGATGCTGAGGATAGAAGCGGGGTTTTGTGTACTCTAGACAAGTAGCCCTGTTTCCAGCCCTTCATTTCACTTGGATTAAGCAGCTGTTTCTCAGAGCTGGGTGACCATTGACATTAATGAGGTAACGAGATTTTAAGCACACCCCAAGACCACAGACAATGATAAAAAGCCTTCTACACAGTGCCTGGCAGTCGGCCTTGGGATGGTGTGAACACACAGCCCAGCCAGCCTTTGCCCTTGATACCCTCTTCTAAAAGCAGGTTAAATCGCTAGGCTAAATCCACCCTATTGGACTTAGTCTTTGCTTTTGCACACTCTTTTCCAGAGGGAAAAAGCTACAGTAATAGTATCGAATGAACAGAGAAGCGGAACAATCCATTTGATTCCCAAAGACGGAGGGTTTTAAATGTGGGGCCCGAGGCTATCTGGATCTTTCCGCTTGAGATCACGATGCAAAAAACCAGGTCAGAGTGTTGAAAAGCGGAGAGGTTAGGCTGATTTAAGGAACCAGTGTGGCTCCCACGTGCCTTACATTCCTTCCTGATGGTACAAGGTACACCCTGGTTAGGAAACCAGCTTCTTTGCTTTGCCCTTGAATATATAAAGAACAATAAGGCTGCTCAGAGGCCGGTGAAGGACTTCCTCACATCTGATCACGTTTTTTATCATATCTGATACCTGATCTTGATTATTTACAGGATGTTTGTTTTTATTATCTATGAGCTCTTGTGGCAATTCTGCCAATCTGAAGTTAAAATATTTTGGGGGGTATATTGAAAAAAAAATCCGTTTGAAGCTTCATCAGCCGTGTTCACTAATTCTTGGATGGGATAGCGACACTGAGGGGCGGATGTTTACGTCTAGCACTTTCTAAAAGGAAGTTAGGCACTCATTTATTGGGGATGTTTTAAACGAACCTGCTGGGCTGAAGGAGAAAAGAGGGAAGGTTTAGCAGTCTCTCCCACTTCTCAGACTCCGAGGAGGAGGGATGGGTAGAATTGCCCCTCCCCGTGCTCTCACAGGTAGGGCCGGTCTCCTCACCTCCCCCCACGCCGCTGGCAGGGGCTCTACCGGAGGGTAGTACTTAGGCACATCCCAGGCCACCGCAGCCATGAACCATTTGAAGTCTTTACACTTGAGTCGTTTGCGCAGCTCCTTCTGGGCAGAGATGTCCCCGGTGGAGAGGTGCCTGTACTCTGGCCGCCGCTGGTAAATGTACTCAGCAAATTCATCCATCCAGGTTTCGGCCACACGCTTCAGGTTCTGTGCCGCAGAGACAAAACAACAACAACAACAACATCAACAAAAAAGAAGTTAGTTATTGGCTCCTCCGCCCAAAGGATCATTTTACTCACATCAGAAACCGAGAAGAGGAAAGTAAAAGAAACGAGGTGGTGTCTGCAGGCAGCCGTGGCTGGTGGGTTATTAACAGTGAGAGTTTTCATACCGACGACAAGGAGCCTGATGGGATTAGCCAGTGGCTTAGCACACTTTCTGCTTCCGGCCCGGAGTTCAGCTGACAGTATGGTAATTAATTACCAGAGCTGGAAGAAGCTCTTCTCACAAAATTTCCCTCCTGTTATTTAATGTGGATATGTACTTATTTTATTTTTTACATCCAGCCGAAGGAGTTGAAACTGGAGAGAATGCAGCTCCCCTTAGGTATCTAATTACTAATTACTTGAAGCATTTCGGGACACAGGCGTTCTGGAAAGAATAAGGCAGAGTAAGCTGCTATTCTTCCCACCCACAAGTGTAGAGACACTTAACAAAAAAAATTTTTTTTTTCCAATACTGTGACATGGACGCCAACCAGAATTTAGTAATTTGCTGCATTTGGAAGTGGAAGGAAGGGAATTAGCTGAGAGCCAATCTCTTCACAGTGCTTCCTGGGGTGAAGAAGTCAGAAGATGGATGACAGGAAAACGAACATGTTCCTTAGGATTAGAAGAACTGTGGGCTGAGAGTAGGAAGGCGCTCTCTTCTCTCTCTCTCTCTCTCTCTCTCTCTCTCTCTCTCTCTCTCTCTCTCTCTCTCTCTCTCTCTCTCTCTCTCTCTCTCAACAGGGTCTCACTATGAAGCTCTGGAACTCGCTCTGTAGACCAGTCTGGCCTCCACCTCTCAGAGAGCCACCCCCTTCTGCCTCCGGAGTGCTGGGATTAAAGGTGTGTGCCACCACGCCGGGCCTGGAAGGCTTCGCTTTTGCTGGCTTTGGGTCTGAGCAAGTTGGTTAGCCATGCTGGGTTTCAGATTCTAAACCCGAGATGGCAAGAGCAGTGTGTGGGGTGGTTGTAGGAATAAGTGAAGCAGCGTTTCTTGTAAACGACTTACAATTAGTCCACAGCAGCAGCTATTATGAAAACTAAGCTGTCGTTATGAGTACGAGGAAGGGTTCGGGATTGGAAATGGACGAGCCTGGGTATTAAGCTGGCCACCACAACGCAGGTCTCTGGGAAGGAAGTGGAGTGGAGATGAGATGCTGTCTGACATCCCTTCACATTTTCCGGCGTTCAGCAGTGTGCAGAACAGCTGCACTTATCTTCAAGGTGCCGGTTTGATGCCTTCAGCTCTACGACCCTCGTCGTAGGCTGGTGTCCCACAGACTCTGGTTATCGTTCTTTCCCAGTTTAAATTGTTTATTTTAAGGGACTGGTTTGTGTAAGCATTGACCTGACCCACTTTCTCGTTGGCTCTGAGAGGGCAAAATGACTTTGATGGCTGGGAACTTCGGTAAGAGCCCAACATAAGTGATTAGAATAAAACCAGTCGCTTTATCTTAAAGAACTGCTATGGAATCTTAAGTCAGATATGAACCCCGAGGTCTGCTGAAGCCACAGCTGCATTTTATTCCTAGTGGGACTGTACACTCTACTCCACTGTCTTCAGGTAGAATGCCTATCTGCCTTGTCCTTGCTTCACACCCTCCTCAGATTTCTTGGCCATGTTTTCTAGATGGTGAGCACTGGGGTGGACTCAGTTAGCAGAGCATAATGCAGAAGGAGAGCCACAACACCGCTCTCATTTCTTGGCTTCCTTGTTTTCTAAGATGCTGGTGCATAATGAGGCTGATAGTGAAATGACACTGAGATTGTAAGAATCACCCCTGAGACATCCCATTGGCTTCCTTTGCTTCCTAATAGTCCATCAGTATTGTCTCTCTCATGTGGCTTTCCTCTTTCACTCCAGTGAGTCTTGGCAGGCGAAAGTGAACCTTGTTTTGTGATACTCCACCTTCACCACTGATTCTGTACTGCCCAATTCATTAGAATTCTGTACTGTCCAATTCATTAGGGTTCTGTACTGCCCAATTCATTAAGGTTCTATACTGCCCAGTTCATTAGAGTTCTGTATTGCCCAATTTATAGGAAAGGAAGCCACTGATTCTTGAGGAGGCTTTCGCTCTGTGATGGAACAGTCTACCCTGTGCATACATGTCTTTCTAATTTCCTTTTATATGACATTTCTATAAGAAATGCATTTGGTGTTCACTTGTCTTTAGACAACTTTAACAAAAAGATTAAAAAACATAGTAGGCAATGTTCATAACTTTAAAACTTGATAATCAAAATTGATATTAAGATAAAGTTCTCACAAACCCCTAAATTATAATGTAGAACACAGAAATATTTAACACTTACTTATTTTATGTCTTTACAATAAATGAAAATAGCCAACAAATTTGCAGAAAAGAATGATAAAGAGGTAAAGGTGTAAATTACTCTGGACAATGAGAAAGAAACTTTATGAAAAGATATATGTATAAATATATATATGTGTGTGTGTGTGTGTGTGTGTGTGTGTGTGTGTGTGTGTGTTTTATATTATAGTAGCTTGCAAAAAGGTCTTGCCATGAAGGAATCTATTTTGATTTGAATGAAAGAGCATTTTTAATTGTAAGCACCAAAGTTAGAGATAAAAAACAAATAAGCAACAAAAACAAACAAGCAAACAAAAATCCCCAGAGAATTTGTTGTTTTGTAGTATAGGAGCTGAGGCTGATGGAAAGCTGTAGATATAGCAAGAATCTATTGCCCTGGTTAGTATAATATATAAATTCTGACTATATGGGCCACAGAGTCACCATAATCCAAAACATTTGGTGAATATAGTTTAAAAATCTGTATTCCACCAAATTGGAAAATCTAAAAGAAATGGATGAATTTTTGATATGTATCCAAGTTAAATCAAGATTAAATAAACAATCTAAAAAGACCCATAACCTCTAGTGAAATAAAGGCAGTAATTAAAAGTCTCCCAATAACAAAAGTCCTGGTGCAGATAGACTCAATAGAAAATTCTGTTGGAACTTCAAAGAAGAATTAATGACAATACTCCTCAAATTATTCTTCAAAATAGAAACTGAAGGGCATTTCCTAATTCTTCTTATGAGGCCACTACTACCCTAATATTAAAATCACACAGTGATTCAAGAGAAAAAGGAAATTATAGACCAACATCCTTATGAACATAGATGCAAAAATTCTCAGTAAAGTACTTATAAACTGAATCTACAAGTGCATCAAAAACATTGTCCACAATGATCAAGTTGGCTTCACCCCAGAGATTCAGGAATTGTTCAACATATGCAAATAGATAAACCTAATCCACCACATAAACAGTCAGAAAGACAAAACCACATGATCATTTCAGATGAAGAACAGGCCTTTGACAAAATCCAGCACTCCTTCATGATAAAAATCTTGGAGTGATCATGGATACAAGGGACATACCTAAATATAATAAAGGCAATACACAGCAAGGCCATAGCCAATATCAAGTTAAATGGAGAGAAACTCAAAGATATCTCACTAAAATCAGGAAGAAGACAAGGCTGTCCACTCTCTCCATATCTACTCAATATGGTACTTGACGTTCTATCAGGAGTAATGAGACAACTAAAGGAGATCAAAGGGATACAAGTCAGAAAGGAAGAAGTCAAAGCCTCTTTATTTGGGGATGATTATGCTTTTATAAATAAAAGTCTCTAAAAATTCCACCAGAGAACTTCCACAGCTGATAAGCACCTTAAACAAAGTAGCAGGATACAAAATCAACACACGAAAAACAGTAGCCTTCCTATATACAAATGACAAACACTGAGAAAGAATTAAGAGAAACTACCTTCAGAATAGCCTCAAATATATATCTTGGGATAACTCTACCCAAGTAAGTGAGAGACTTATAATAAAAACTTTAAGATATTCAAGAAAGAAGTTGAAGAAGGCATCAGAAGATGGAGCTGTCTCCCATGCTTATGGATAGTTTGGATTAAATATAGTGAAAATGGCCATCCTACCAAAGACAATCTACAGGTTCAATGCAATCCCCACCAAAATTCCAACACAGTTCTTTACAGAAATAGAAAAAAACAATATTCAACTTCATATGGAAACCACACACACACACACACACACACACACACACACACACACACACACACACAGAGATATTACCACCACCACCATCAAACAGCAACAACAAAACAATATCAACAACAAACCCCACCCTAGAACCAGCATAGCTAATACAATCCTGAATAACAAAAGAACTCTTATAGGTATCACCACCTGAGATTTTAAGTTGTGTTACACAATTATAATAATGCAAATAACGTGGTGTTGACATTAAAAATAGAGATGTTGACCAATGGAATTAAATGGAAGACTTAAAAAAAAAAGAAGCCAAAAAAAAAGACAGCCTCTTCAATAAATGCAAGCTGGAAGACTGCATGCAGAAGAATGCAAATTTATCACCTTGCACAAAACTCAACTCCAAAAGGATCAAGAACCTCAAAATAGGACCAGATACCCTGACACTGAAAGAAGAGAAAGTAAGGTGGGCTTTGAAAGGGTATACAGCGCTGGTTTGGTCGACGGAAGAGTCACGAGCCATGGTTACTAGAGTTAGAATGGGCTTTACTAGAGAGAAGAGGGGATAGGACAGGAGAAGCCAGGCCTGGCAGAGAAGAAAAAGAGAGAGAGGGGCACAGAGAGGTGCAGAGAGAGAGAGACAGAGAGAGAAGAGAGAATAGAGAGAGAGAGCGTGGGGGTGCATGTCTGGCTTTTAGGCTAGGATGCAGTCGCCCACTGATAACATAATAAGGGGCCAGATGAGACCCCAGCTGTGAATATACAGAATCCTTACAGGCTTGAACTTGGAAGAGATTTTCTTACGAGGGGGAAACCTTCTAAAGCTTTAATTGTTATGGTCAAGGAACAGTCATTATTCCCAAGTCTTTCAATTGATTGGACAAATAAAAATCA